AGCTCTCGGATTTCATAAAAAATATCTTAATTTGTGTTTCGAAGATGAACGAAGGATTTATAGGTTTGGAATGACATGAAGGTAATTAATGAGAGCATTTTCATTTTTGGGAGCACTATCCCTAAACATTTATATAAACAGAACCAAAAATTAGTAGCCAGATTGGCTGATGAGTATAAAAATAAATTAATTTTAAACCCTGGATTACAAATAAATATTTTACAAATATTAGATGATTAATACAGAAGAAAAGACTTAATTTGTTTATCTCATCATTATTTGGTGTCCATTTTCAGGAGATATTGGTGGACAGATGGGGCTCTTCATTGGGGCCAGTATTCTTACTATACTGGAACTACTTGACTATATCTATGAGGTATCTTCAGTTCATTGCGAAAGGACAGTCCTATGACATTCACATAAACACACTATCATAATACACACTATCTCTTGTCCTTTCAGTCTGCTTTTAATCTTTATCTCTGTAGGTGGTCAAATACAAAATCAAGCAACTCCTGAAACAAAAAAAGAGTCAGAAACAACAGAACCAACGGAACTTGATCCAAGAGCAGATCCAGAGAACAAAGAACCTGCGAGAACAGAACCTGAAAGCTCAGCTGGCAGCCGGAACTATAGCTACAGTCCGATTTGAAGAAGTCAAAGTCAAGGTGAGTCAGAGAAACATAGTGATTTTTTGATGGCTTATATGCATTGCACCTAATAACTGATGATCCGCATCATGCGATTCGTTTGTCAACAGGCAGCTAATGAAGTAGCTCAACCGCACAGTGCACATCCAACTTCAATATTACCAAATCATCACAATGCACAAGCAGTCGTACAGCAGGATTTTGCTTGTTAAGGGACATCTCTTCTTCTCTGTATTTATTTTTCATATCACTGAACTTGAAATTGGGATCCTGAATGGACCCTGTACACTGAAATACAAATTTCATTTTTTCCACTTATAAAAGCTACAGCCAAAGCCTAATCCAGGACCTCGTGTGAAACCGGCTCAAACCAGTCACACCGTCACTGTTCTCATTGTTCAAGTCAATACCAGATTAAGAAACCACACAATGTGTTTAACATGTGCTTTTGTTGATTTTTTTCCATCTGGATGGACCTATCATAGATTTCAAAGAAGAAAGGACCTGAAAGGATCAGATTCGGTCAGAATGTCGCATTTCACATAAATTACCTATTTGACAGGACAAATATGTACTAAATGAAAGTTATAAGAGATGAACCAACCATACAGCTGTTGCTTAGTGCAGAAAAAAAAGTTGGTTTCTGCGTGGTTCTTCCTATGGTAATGTACAGTGCTTGCGCCATTTCACCTTTTCACATTTCTTAATAACATAATGAGACTTCTCAGTAGAAGAACAGCTCAAATATACCACTCGTTTCTCTGTGAGTAGGTGTTACGTTCTTTTTCAGTCTTATGTAACTTCTCCATTGTGCTGTAGTCCTTATAATGAAACAGTCTGTCTCTAGGTTTGAAACATGGAAAACACCACACTAGAGCACACGGTTTGCTGAAATCATCTCTAGTAATAAAGAAATAAATAAAATAAAATAAAAACAGTAACTAATATTCTTTATATGTATATAAAAATGTAGAGGTGATATTTATTTTGTATTCAGATACAAGCACATTCAAATACAAACACATTTCAGTTTGTAGTAACATTTTGCTGAATATCCATCATTTCCGTCTGGTCATAAATCTAAATAATAATAATAATAATAAATCAGTTTGAAAGGACTATAGAACACAGTAATACTGACTACAGATGAAACGAAACTGTCCGAGTATAACCTTAAAACCACCATGAGTTCTTCTTCTTCTTTTTTATAATTTCATGTCTTGAATAATGTATTGGAGACTGGTCACAAGCCAGAGCCTTCTGATTGAATATGCAGAATTTCCACAATTAACCTTGTACATGAGGACAGTATTTCAAGGAGGAAAAAAATCTGCTTTTACTGCCATCTAGTGGGCCTAATACTAAAACACAAACACCTATTATGTTTAATCAACACCACTTTGCATGAACTTGTCAAAGTCTAGTGGCTCAATAACAGTGGACATTCAAGGGTAGAAATGTCATATGAAATCATGGAAATTTTGCAAATTACTGTGGAAGTATTTGGTGAATAAAAAGTTGTTGTTTTTTTAACAAAATATCTAATGGGTATGATAATGACTGTAATCCAAGTTGTGAGCAAATAGGTTGTGATCACATAATAATAATAATTATGAAAATATTCTGTCCCCTACACTGACACACTTTCAACAAATAGAATTAGATCCTCTTAAGCTCTTCATCTGTAACCATTTCTGTTAGCAGCAGAACGGCGCACACTGTAAACATCTGCAGTGTGATGCACTAACGCTATAATCTCATTATAGCATGTCAGTTCCACAGAGCCCAACACCTGGTACTATGCTCTCAAAGATCTTTTATTAAAAATATATATATATATTGAAGGAAAAGGCAAACAAACCAAACATTATAAATATTCTTAAATATGTGGTTTATGTGCAAAGCAACAACAACAAAAAGTTTTTGTGTTCATTTGTTTGTTGGTTGCATAGCTGAGAAGCATTTCACTGTGAAGG